TGTGAGCCTTGGAGGGTACACTGTTTCACCTTTCTCCCATGGAGTGCTTGCTGGGCTTGAACTGATGATCCTTAGATTAATCCTTGATGTTTAATCCACTGCCAAGGTCTTCCTCATTTCTTTTCTCCTCCTCTACTATGAATACCTTTAACATACACAGCCATATTTGCAATCTATTTACCCTCAAGACTGCGCATAAGCCAATTAACAGTGCTGCAAATTGCCAGCGAGCTAATTTTAAATTGAGTGTTATAATTTCGTAAAACACAAGGTCACACAAGTCATATTCCAATTGTTTTCTTTCTCTTTTTTTCATTGAGTAAACCTAGGATGTTTCCATTTTTCTTATGCAGCAGTAAGTTGTCTCACATGAACAATTCATAAAATAAGAAGTTTGACATTAAAAGTACCTAATAATGTATGAAAATATCACACAAATTAGGTAAGACGAAAGGACATACAAATCAGAATGGTATTTACCAGAGTTACTGAATTGAATGCACTATATAAACCAGTTCATTCTATTATATATTTACCATTGGTCGCATGGTTTTCTAGAATTCTTCATAAACTGTTAAGCAGGAATATAAAAATATATAATAAACATAGACTCATCTCTCCTTTAAAATTAGCACAGATAAATAAACTGACAAAAATGCATGCTACAGAAAAAAAGTGCTTGTCTTAGCTCATAAATTAGCCGTTATCAAGTGACAGCCTACTATCCATTTTTGTTTCATAGATCACAGCATAAAATAGCTTCAAATTATACTATCAAAATATAAATGCAATGTTATTCTTGCTCTGATAATTCATTCTGGAGAGTTTCTCTTTCTGTCTTGAGAGTTTGAATAACAATGCACTGTTGTAATTTGTTATGTCCAATGGTTATTATGTTAGGATGCCTGGTGGGGAATTGGTTAAGAAAAAGCTCAGCAGGTCTGACCCACCAGCTGCTCTACGAGAGAAACACACGGCAATCTGCTTGTGTAGATTTATAGCCGAGGGAAAACTGTGGGGCAGTTCTGCTCTGTCCTCTAGTGCTGCTGAGTCAACATCTACTGGACAATACACAGCATGGCCATAACCCAAACTGACACAGGCTTGAACCAAAAGAACGCCACAGAATTGTATAGTAGGTCTGCTCAGGCACCAATATTCCATCATTTAGTATCAGGGAATGCTGTTTCCCGGTGACTGCGTGCCCATTCTAAATTCATATGATCAATGCCTATCTGAATTGGCAAAAA